GTGCTGGCCGAGCTCCGGGGCTCACACCGGGCCCGCCCGGCCCGTGCCGGCGGAGCGCTGGCCGCAGCCCCCCGGCTGTCCCCGCCGCCCCACACGGGGGGCTGAGCAGTCCCGGAGGGCGAGGCAGGGCATCCCGAGTCCCAGAGTGTGAGACTCGGCCTGTCCCACCCAGGGATGGAGGCCTGCGGCTGGAGCTGGACACGCGTGGCCTCTGGCCCTGAGAGCCGAGTCCCTGCAGCTGGAGTGAGCTCCAGTCTTTCCATGATCCGTGTGCTCCTTGTATAATTCCTCTTTCCGGAATCTCATTGCTTCTCTGAGCAAACACCTCAAAACAGCATTTCCTCATCTTGTCTAATATGTGCAGAATAGTCAAAACAACATTTCTGTCGTTTTCTAGATAATCTCACCCCATGTTGTGGTCAAAGAGAAGCTTTTCTGTTGAATCAGCTGGATAACAATTTGCATTGAAAAACCATTTACTATTTTGCTGGTAGCATTCTTCCTCATTCCAAGATGATTCAGTGGGAGAAACCAAGCAAAGGGGACTTGCTGGAGCGCAGGGTGGGTCTCGCTGTGCAGAGCAGGGGTGTAGGATGTGCTCCAGCAGCCATCTCCAAGCACTGTCCCTGTCGTGTGTGCCCGTGGGGCAGCCCTGAGCCGTGCTGAGGGGGAAAGTGGGATCTCCTTCCCACCAGCTTTGCCAGATGCTCCATCTTGTTTCGTTTGTGTTCAAGGGATGAGTGCATGTGGCACTTAGAGCCATGATCTAAATGACAAGGTGGTGATCAGTCAAAGGTTGTATTCGATGATCTCAGAGGTCTTTTCCAACCTAAATTATTCTGTGGCTCTGTGACCAATGCTGTGGGTGCTGTGTTGGTGCCTCTAGAGGGTGTTGTGCTGGTGTCTCAGCATCTGTCACTGCAGCCTGTGGCCATGGAAGAAGCTCCTGCCTTTGTCCCCTTCCTGCTGCTTTGGCTGGGGCTGCACCAGCCCGGGGTAAGCTTTGGGCTGTTAGACAAACCCAGTGGCGGATGTGGCACCAACCAAGTCACCATCAACACCAACATAACTTCATTATCACCGGCACTGGGCTGCTTGTGCACTTATTTTGGTTGCCCTAAGTTGTCATCAACAAAAACTGGTCATTGCCCAGAGGAGAGGAAGAATAACTGTGGCTGTAGGAACCCCCAGGGAAAGGTGAGGAGACTGATACTGTTAATCTATGAGACCAGCTTGTGCTCTGTACCCACCCTGTGACCCTCAGTATCCTCAGGCGTTTATTTCATCAGAGCAATTTGCTTGTCAGACATTCTCTTCCATTAGTTCCCTAAATGTTATCCAGGATTATGATCTGCTAAAACAGAAATGTGCCAGAATCACGGTGTTCCCAAAAAGGAGGAACCACCAGGCAAGCACGGGGACAGCAGCAGTGCTGAGCTCTGCATCGTGGCACTCCTGAGGTTGGAAGGAGCCCTGCAATCTCTCAGGTTGTTCCAGATGGTTTTCCAGGTGCGTGGAAGGGAGTCGTCACTGCTGACACGGGCTGGCCAGCACTGCCTGCTCCGGGGTGTCCGGCTCGGTGGTGATTAACAGCCACAGAAAGGCACGATAAGCACCAGGTTCCTGCCAGGCAGCTGCGAGGTGTGGAGCACCAGATCTCCGGTGGACACGGGTGGTTCGTGGAGGAATTGCATCCACCTTGAGTCACAGCGGGAGGAGAAGGATAAACCTGTACTAAAAGCATTTTTCTTGCCATGAGCCCTCTTCCCACACTGATTTGTGGAGATTTGTGCAGAGCTGTGCTCCTTTCGTTGCACTGTTCCTGCATCGTCGTGATGTGATGTTGCTGGAAACCTCTTTGAGCATGACTTTGATTTTCCAGTGCTCCTGTCAAGTGCCAGCTTAGAATTGTAGTAACAATGTCAATCTCAAACCAATTAATTTCACTCACCCCACAGCTGCAAATTTAAAGTTTTTCTATTATACAGAAACTCCAGCCCATTTGTGCTTGGTGCTGATGTGTCCTGGGCAGACCAGTCCTTAAGTTCCCCTATCCTATTGATTGCACATTGGTTTGTGCGTAATTCAGAAAGAAATAATTAAACAGAGAAGGAAAAATTTGGAAAATTAGATTCCAACTCGTATTCCTGGGTGACTGGAGAGTAACTTGGTGTAAATGGGTTAGCACTCACAGAATTAATTAATTAATTAAGCTTTGTCTGCTAAATATGTCTCAAACATATTTAATATGCCTTTACCTTGAGATCACATGCAGAGGAAAGGGAAGTTAACGTGGCAGTGCATCTGATTTTTATTTCCTCTGACTGTGGGTCTCTGGTGAAGGCCAGCAGTTTGGCTGGCAGTTTGCAGACAGGCTCCTGTGCTCTCCTCACCTCGGGTGAACCCTCGTGCTTGAAGTCCCAAGACCTTTTCCTCCACAAAGGCCCACTGTAGTTCAGCACTGTTTCATTGGAGCAGATGTTCACTTGGACAGTAACTAATTTGGTGTTTGTGCATGCAGTAACCCTGCACTCCCATTGCAAATTCATGTGGTTATTGAATGCTTGTGTGTAAATTAATAGGGCTCTCATGTATGGACACTAAATCCTGCAACTCATGCTCAGGAGTTCCCAAAAGCTGTGTGGAGGCTACATTGATGGAGTCTGGTTGGTCTGGGGGAAAGGCACACTGGGCTCTGACTTTGCCCACAGTGTGCTGAGCTGCTTGGGCTGTCTTGTGATAAGGGAGGGGTCCTGGTGGGGGCTACAAAGCAGGAGGACCATGGGGCTGGGGAATAGCATTGCTCAGGAGACTTTGAGCTCATTTTTATGCCTAAACCTGGCAGCTGACAGTAGGAACACTGAAGGAGCTGGAGCACTCTGCTTGGGAATGGGATGGTTCAGAGACAGATGATCAAATGAAGCTTTGAATATTTGACCTACAAAAATCTGCAACGAGTCTTACGTGTGAAACAGTAGCTGTGAATGAAGGGCATTTTGCATGTGCAAGGAGGGAGCTCCTGGTGCTGCTGCCAGGTGCTCTTGCCCTGTTCCTGTTCCATCCGGGATGGCAGGGCCAGGACAAGCTCCTGCCTGCAGCAGAGCCCAGCACTGGAGCAGAGCCCGGCACTGGGGTCACTGCTGTTGATAGAGGTCAGTGTAGGGATTCCTGTTGAGAGCAGCAGTGAAGAATCTGCCTCTGTGCAGTCCTGGTTTCCCCTTCCATCCTCCAGTCCTTGTGCTGTCCTCCTTGGAATGCTGCCAAGCCTGGATCCTGCTCCTTGGCTGTGGGTGGAGGTGGAGTGGCTCTTCGGTAAACAGAATTAGAGGCAAATGTGGGAGGTTCCTGAAGTCACCTGTGAGCTGCCTCCTCCCATACCTGGACCCGGGCTGCCTGCAAGGCGCTTTAAATTGCCACTTGGCACAGCCCTGGACGCAGACTTCATCGGCATGCCACGAAGCATCCTCCTGCTGGGGCTCCTCGCCCTGTGGGTGCAGCTGCAGGCAGCACCCATTGCAGGCAAGTGTGGGTGGGTGGGAAGAATATTTAAGAATATTTTTTTTCCCTATTTTCCTAGAACCACAGGTGTTTTGCAGCTGTTGGCTGGTTGCAAGTTGCTGCCTTGTGAGGGCCAGGGAAGCTGCGGTGGGAGTGGGGTGGGATGAGCCTGCCAGAGCCAGCAGGGCCCCTCAGGCACCAGCCCCACCATGATCCTACCATGAGCTGGGAGGTACCAGCCTGGCCTTGTGCTGTGTCACCTCAGCCTGGAGGGCAGCAGGGCTCAGGCAGAGCCCTGAAAACCCACCAGGAAAAGCTGCAGAGGAGAAGACAGCACAGCATCGTGGTAAACTGGGCTGCTGGGTGGATGGGAGGGCAGCATGCTGGGGCTGATGTTGCTGCTTTCTGCTCTCCTACAGAGTTCCATGGAGTAGCTCCAGCTGGGTGGCCGCCACCAGGGCAGCTGGGAAGTGCCCTGAGCCTTGAGCCTGGGAAAGAGCCCAGGATGGTGCCTGATAATGGTGATGGTGACAATGACAATAACAGCTTGAACAGCAGTGAAACTGGTGACTCCAATAGCAGTGAAACTGGTGATGATGGCAACAATGCCAATGACTATGATGGTGATGATGGTGATAAAAATCAGCTTTGTGATTGCAATGACCATGGTGACAACAACGGTGATGATGGTGTCAATGGTGACAATTCAAATAGCAATGAAGATGGTGATGATGGTGATAAAAATGACCTTTTTGATAGCAAGGACAATGACAATGATAATGGTGGCAATGACAGTGATGATGGCAATGATGATGGTGATGATCTCATCAATGATGAAAATTCCAATAGCAATGAAGATGGTGATGATGGGATCGGTGATGAAAATTCCAACAGCAATGATGATGGTGATGATCTCATCAATGATGAAAATTCCAACAGCAATGAAGATGGTGAAGATGACATCAACAGTGACAGTTCCAATAGCAGTGAAGATGGTGACTCCAATGACAATGAATATGATTACTCCAATAACAATGAAAATTATGCTGATTATGGGGGGTGGGGATTTTAGATTGTAACAGCTGGGATTTTCAGAGATTTTTGGGTTTTTCTTTTGTGGCACCCAGCTCAGGCTACCAGATTTGATGATTGTTCTGTGCCAATAAATGTATCTAGTGAACATGAGACTTTAGTGTCGAAGATTTCTTTAACAGCCTGGCAACCCAAATGGGATACTTGGTTACTTTCCTGTTTTCTTCTAAGCACCAGATACCCAAATTTGCAGCAGTGGGTAGTTTCACCCGGGAGCTCTGAAGTAAGGAAAGACTTAGTAGTGAGTGGGAAATCTCAAAAGGAGGTTCAAATCCTGCCTTCTACAAGTTTGAGTTTTGTGGGTTTTGGGAAAGATGAGCAATGTACCTGGCATAAAGAAAGGAATGCTTTTAGCTGAGGTGCTGCAGAATTGGGAGATGATAGTTGACACTACTAAATGAGCTCTAAAGCTCACAGTGATATTATGCCAGGAGGAATGGCCATCAATTTCTTGATGTGCTGGGACAAAATCTGCAGAAGTGTGGCCCACACAGGGGGATTCAAAGAGACTGTTTTGATTTGCCTTCAACATAGACTACAGGACTGATACACAGGGCAGATGGACTATTGATATGGAACAACTGAGCCTGAGAAAAGCAGCATCTCAGGATTGGGGATGGTACATGATATCCTGAGGTAAATTCTAGCCCAGACCCTGCTTTTCTCTGTGTGCCCACTAAAAAAGATTTTCCACTGTCTGTTCCTGTTGCTTTGCTTTCCATGCTCACTTCTACTTCACCTGCAACTGCCCCAAACCAATCTGAACAAATTATTTGAGTACTGTAATTAATGGGCAGCCAACAGTTGTTTTAATTTATATCCATTGATCCTGGATTACAGGAGATTCAGTGTTGTGGACTACTAACATTCCAAGGCTGAGGGAAGATGCAGAGCAATGTGCTCAATCAAATTTGTGCTCCACATGATGAAAACTGGCATGATTGGAAAGCTGTGGAAGAATAGCTAAAAGTGGCCAGGGACTGTATAAAAGATGAAAAGAGCAAAAGAATTTTTTGTAATATATTAGACACTTGCATAGAAGCTGCCTGTTAGGATAGGAAAAACCATAGCAGAGAGAAACAAGATCTAAGAGAGAAACAGAAGGTTGGAAAGAAGCTGTATTGTTGTCTTTGAAAATTGAGAAACTGCATAAACAGGAAGAAAAGCTACAGAAAAAAAAGGAAAAAAAATAAAAGAAGAAAAGATTCAAGTTTATGTGAACTCCCTGTCCCCCAACATTGTATAGATTAAAAACTGTTATCACCTGAAGAATGAGACTGGAAACATTTGGGGTAGCCCTGACCATAGTGAACCTAGAGAGATGATTGTTTCCTTCAAATCCCCCTGAATATGAAACCAGACTCATTATAGAAACAGAAGAAACCAGTGGACCTTGGGATAGAGTGGGAAATTGTACTCCAAACCAGCCTCATTTGATTTGATTTAGATGACTGATCTGCGAGAGCACTATGGCTGTAAGCCAGGCCAGACTGAAATCTGGCAAGTGAAATCCTATTAATGCAGACATAATAATGGTCCAGACATTCTGATGCTATTGGACCTCATGAAAAATTAATGCAATTTTTAGCAGACACGGGAGCACGAGATTCAATTTTAACACAACAGAATGCTGTGTTAAACCTGGTCAGCAAAGAGTTAAAGTTACTGGAGTAAACAGAGCAAGTGCCAAATGCCAAACCACCCAGGTTAATTCATGGCCCGTGGGCAAGAAGCTGTGTTGGCATCAAGTGTATGTCAACCACTTCTTTGCAGTTAGAGATCATAATGAAAACTTTTGGGTTTTGATGTTCTGAAAGGCCAAACCTGGTGTCTGCTGATCAGCAGGGTAAGGTCCTTAGGCTCAAATGCCAACCCCTGAAATCAGGAGGCTGCAGTGTGTGCTCTGTGCAGCACCTGCACTCCCTGATTTGACAGTCACTAATGTTCCACAATACTCAAAATGGGATTTCTGTAGCCACACACCCATGGATGGCAGCACTGGATATGAAAGATGTGCCCTTTGTAGCCCCCTTATTAGAGAAGAAAACAGAAATTGGCATTTCCCTTTCCATAAAGGGACAATATACCTTTAACAAACTGGGGTGTAAACATTCACTGAATGTTTATGTTATTGAATGTTTATGGTAATTCCCCTGGCAAGAAACCAAATTAAGGGAAAGAAACCCCAGAATGTGAGGGAAGACTGTGACTAGAGAAAAGCTAGAGGCTGTAGCAAAGCTGGAGACTGGTGGAAAGCTGGTATCTGGGGAGAGATCTGTGCTGGGGGAGAAGCCAGAGAAGCCTGAGGAGGGAAAGAATCCTGGGTCTCACCATGGTGACAGGGAGGCAGATGATGGCAATGATGATGATGGCAACACTGATGATGGCTGTGGTGATCATGACTGTTGAAAATCTTCTGTTATTTGAAAGTATCTGAGTGCTTGTTTGGTATCAGGAAATGGACATATTAGGTGCAATCTGAATTTTTTCCTAACCATATTGGGTGTGTTGTGTAGGTGAAAGACAGAGTAATGAAACCCAGGGCTGACAATCTGAACATTAATGCTAGAATAGACAGAGCTGTAGCTTAAATGTTACTTAAAAATTAATAGCTGGAGTGGACAGCCCATAGATCACGGTGTGTGAACTGTAACAACCATACTGTAACATGGACCAGAGAACTGAGTGAAACCCCCACCAAACCTGACCTCAGAGGCCATGAAAATGACCACGTGGCAATCACTTGGTAACAAAACAGCGAGGCAATGAAGAGTGAGAAGACCCCAGAGCCTAAGAATACTCTTGATCTGGACGGTCACATGAGAGATGGGGAGTTTATACTATGAGGGTAAAATTGCCCAGAGATTTCTTTGTTTGGGGTCCTCCTTTTGAGGTTACAGCTCAAGCTACCAGATTTCATGACTGATCTCTGCCAGCAAATCTATCTGATGGAGATAAGAGAGCCTGGAGTCAAAAATTTCTTTAACACCAATGATGATATAAGATGATGATGATGGTTACAGTGATGGTGCTGGTGACAGTGATTACACTTGTTGACTGATGCCACAAGTTATATGAGGAGCAGGTGAAGTGAGGAGAGCCCACTGTGTGGGTGCAGGGGCCTCTTCCTCTGCCTCACTCTACAGGGCTGGTCCTGGGCACCAGCAGTGTTTTGGGCAGGACCTTCTCTTTCCTAATAAACCCCACACTGGCCACTGGCTGTGACAAGCTGTCCTTGGCCAGTGCCTGGCACGGCCAGGTCATTGTGGCTGCCCCAGCTCTGTCCCTGCACAGGGGCCCTCTGGTGCTGCTCCTGCTCAGGGTGGGCTCAGCAAGGCCCTCTGCACAGCAACATGCTTCTGTTCCCTGAGGGAGACCCCCAGAGACAGCCCCAGGCATGCACCCACCCAGGATCCACAGGGCATCTCTGGACCAGAGGAAACCTCCCCATAGGGTCTGTGGCCCCAGCTCCCTGAGGCTCCCCAAGCATCCTCCAAAAGCTTGACCAGGATCCATGAGGACAGGGACCCCATCCCCCCCACAGGCACTGAAGGTCTCTCAGAAGCTGGTGGGGGCCCACCAGGAGACAGATGCAGCAGGAGCCAGACATTGTTCATCACAGACTGAGTTTACTGGGAGGTGGGGGGCACAGAGACCCCTATGGTAAGCACAGAGCTGAGGTGGGATCAGGAGGCTGGGTGATTATCCAGCAGCTGATGGAGCCCTCCATGGCTGTCTGTCCAGCTGTCCAGCTGTTGTCTGGCTGTCTGGTGAGGGGTGGCTGCACAAACTGGGTCCTTGGTCCAGGTCCATGTGGGGGCTAGGTGAATTCTGGGAAAGACAGGAATCCACGCTCAGGCCCTCACTCTGTAGCATGACTGGGCACATCTGTCCGCCCCACAGTGGGACCCTGGGGGTGAGGGTTCCAGAGACCCCAGACAGCTCTCCCAGGGAGCTGTGGGGGGTTGGTGGTCATTTCTGCAGCATGCAGAGATGTAGGGGACACGGCACAGGTGGGATGCTGCACTCCCAGCCATGGTCACAGTGGTCTCCGTGCTCATGGCCTCATATCCTCCCGCAGCACTGTTCCACTGGCTCCCACATCCACCCGTGCCCACCTGTGCCCACCCGTGCCCACCCACACTCACCTGGGGAGACCAGCCGGGCCCAGA